TTACCAGACCTGAAATTTCTTTTTTCAGAAATAGCTGAACTCTAGTATTTGATGAATTGATCCAAATTTGCCTGGCATCTTTCTTCACGAGGCACACACTATTTTGTGAAGTTAACCAGAAGATTCTAAATTTCTGGGTGCATTCAGCATAATTCCCAGCACAAGAATCCATGGGCCACAGTCCTTAGGAGATGGAATGCATCATTCCTCTCATTCTCAAGTGTTAATGATACAGCAATGAGTTACAGAGGCAACCTCAGTGTCCTACAGAGAAAATGAGCCACCTATGGCTCACCTGCCTCTTATTTATTTCTTTCCTTTCACCCTACAGCAAAAACATCACTAACTCCCCAAACAGCCGAAAGGGTCCGGACCAACTCCAAGACTGATCTATCTCCATCCCACAGTTCTTTCTCAAATCAGAACTCCAACTTCACCCTGGGGAGTGACTCTTCAACTCAAGCTTTACTCTTGCTTTTAGCCTTACTCTCAGTGCTCAATCAGCAGATTTCACTTAAGTTCTATGTTTTTCTTCAAAGCTCTTTCTTTATTGGGTTAAACCTGTCCCTGTGTTTGCTTTACATTATGCCATGTTGGCTTTTGGAACCCCTTATCCTTTATATTCTCCTTGAAAATGAAGATGATAGTGTTCATTTTCTATAAATAAATAATTCTGTTATCAGCCTCCATCGAAATAGGAACAGAAAGTCAGGTATGAATCTTTCACTACTCTGTGCTCTCTGAATCATGGTAAATATATGGAAAGAAATCTATGGTTATGCTCAAAGTTTATTTTATTTGGCCCTTCTAGCCTTCCAGCTGTGCAGATGATGGCCATACCGCACAAGACCCATGATGAAGGCAACGAAGTTTCCAATCCAAAGCTCAAGACAGAAACGTGAACTTCTATCATATAGCCTAAGTCTTGAATGTGATTGTCATGGTAAGGAAAATAACGTTTTGACACTTGGTATATTCAGTTGCAAATACATATCAATATGCAGAGTTTTTTTAGAAAAATTTGTTGTAAAGCAAACATTTTATCTCAAATCCTACTTTATTGTAGATGATGGTCCTAGGAAATAACATACAGATATAGAATTTCATAGCTTTATGTAACAAATTCATAGTTGAGAAAAAAAAATATTTTAAAAAATAGCTGAAAATAACATTTTGATTCCCTGATTTTCTTACCAAAATACAAACAAATTAATTATCCTTATTTATAGGGGATCAGATAAGAGATTTCAAGAAGGGAACATAAGAATTACAAAAATAGAGATTGTTAGATCTAAAGGTGTTAATAACTGATACCAGCCAACTGCTCTACTTGTAACTACTCCATGGCTGCCACAGAGCTTTCCTTAAAGCTCAAATATACCTTTAGGTACTATTCAAATATTCTTCAAACTGTGCATAGCTTATTTAGAAACCAGACTTTTAAAGACCCCAAAGTAAACAAAATAAGAACATATCCAAAAGACGGAAGAAGCATCATTAACCATGGACATCCAGAACTGTGAGAGGGAAATTTCTGTTGTTTATAAGCTATCCAAGTCTAAGATATTTTGTTATAGCAGAACAGACTAAGACGGCATAAGAGACAGAAAGTAGATTAGTGGTTGTCTGGAGCTTAGTGGTGGGAGAAGAGTGAGAAAATGGGAGTGACTGCTAATGGATACAGTTTTTGTTCTTGGGGTGATGAAAACATTGTGAAAGCAGTGGTAGTGGTTGTACAAGTCTGAATACACTAAAAACCACTGAACTGTATAAATGAGTGGATTTTATGATATGTGAATTATATATCAATAAAGCTGTTAAAGATGTATCATGGACATTTCACAGGTCATTACATGCAAAGCTTGTGCATTCTTTTCTGTAGTTGCAAAACAACATTGTGTAGTCTGAATCTGGTGGAATTTATTTAATATTTTTCATGTTAATTGCCTTCAAGTTTTCCCCCCAATTTTTTGCTATTAACAATGCTTCAATAAAATATGACTATATGTAAATATTTTTACTTGTCTAAGATAACTACAAGTAAAATTGTTGAATCAAATTTATGCCTATTTAATTTTAATAGATGCTGCCAGATTAATTTACAAAAAGAAAATAGCAGTTTACCCTAATACCAACAGTAAATGAGAGAGTCCATTTTCTTATACACTCACCGGCACTGGATGTAATCAATGCTTTTAACTATTGCAAGTATGCTGATAACAATGAGTCATTATTGTTTTAATTTGGATTAAAAGACTTTAGT